AGGTCGCGCACCCAACACACAGCAAGTGTACGGCAACACACGGAGGGACAATAAACCCTCCAAAATATAACCTTTAACTGCTCCCAGATCCGTGTTTTCCTGCCGATAAGTGGCGTCCCCCTCCTCCCCCCTCCGGTGCCACCGTTGGATCGCAGAGTATTCAGTGAGAGGCTCATTTGCTGAGCGTTACATTAGAGCGACGCCGCTGATGGCCATACAAAAGCCATGTAAATGAGCTGTGAGTGCGGCCCATCAGTCATCGTGCCAGATGCGCTCTCACATTATTATTTATGGCCGTAATTGGCCCCCGTGTTTCCTCGGGCGATGACTCTGAGCGCTGATGGATTTGACGATGACGACTCTGCTCAGCCCGACAATCAGGAAGCAGTCGGGGGAGGAAGAGGGAGAAAGTTTGAGTGTGCAGCGGCGTGAGGGGGGGATGCACGGGTGGAGAGTAGGCAAAATGGTTTCTAAGGTAGAGCGAGCGTTATGTAGCGGTTGAGTTGCATAATACTAGATCCAAAGTAATAACAAACAACAAAACTTTCAAACACACATACCCTTGACCAACAATTAACCAATCCCAATATTTTCTAACTAATAAAGTAAACACATATTCTGCACTGATTCTGATTTTTAGTTGGGTCCCGGTTACATTCAATCCAGTATTGTTTATCATGTTAACGGATCAATAATTAGCAACTGTTACTTTATCATGTTTACATCAGTGAGCTTTTAATCGGGACAATATGGAGGCTGAGACAGCAAGCGCTCAGAGGTCGTTGGGTAAGCAGCGTATCGGGCCTCGGACGTAGCTGTCCGCTCCTGCCTCGGCCCGAGCTCTAGAGTTAATGACTTCCTGTTGCTGCAGTAGAGTTTGTCACAGTTTGTCGTCGCCCATCAGGAACATGTTGACAACTCCTGTCGGTCGGCCCCTTCGCCTCGTCCAAGTTGGCAGGTGGACTACTTGTTGGCAGGTCTATTTCCGACCCCTCGCTGTGCCCCGAATGGTGCCACGTTGGATGAGTTACGTGCGTTGCTGAGTGCAGGTGCAACTGAGTATCTAATATGTGTGACTATCATCATGTGTTTTCCCGCTTTGTCCATTTGGCTCCGAGAATGCTGACCTCTGCAACTGATGATAGCCGTTTCCTCCATTTTTGTTTCCTCCTTTTTAATGTTTTTGTCGACTTATTGCGTGCGGCGTGAAGTAACCTTCTCTGACCTCGTTATTACACAGTTGACTAACTAACTCAGTGTCCAAGGAGACACAACAAAGTGAATGTGGATATTTGTTCTTTCTAGGAGTATATATTTATATATAATACATATATTATAAAGGAGTCTTCTGGTGTCTGAACACTGTATTCTATGTGATGGCCAGCAGGGGGCAATAAAAGGCTGATAACATGGAGTCTTATGGAGAAATTACCCGACTTCTCGCTTGATTTATGAGCTCAGTAAACAGTTTTCTAATGAGTTTATGGTCTCAATCTCTAGTTTAAAGTCTTCTTTCATACAGCATGATGTTCATTTAGTAAATTATGGTCCAATAGACGATATAATATATAATGGATCATTGTGTTTATTGCTTTAATATCTTGCGTTTCTAGATCGGTTACATCACTCATCACGGATTAAAGTGTTAAGATCTTGCTTTCAACTTCATTCTTTTACTTAGAACCGATAAGTCTTCCAAACAATGTACCATAGATTTTCAGATTGACGGCGCAACTGGACAATGCGCGTCTGCGGTTTACAAAAAGAAGCTTATAAGAATTCGTTAAAACCACATAAACAAGAACAATCATAACATCGGAACCAGATGTAATATAACAAAATTTCCCTAAAAACGAAATAAATCTGCTAAAATACCATCCAATGCTCATGTTTTGTTTAGCACAACCTTACGTGTAGTTCCTCGAGTTAAAATGTTTAGATTAATTGTAAAAAACAATTTTTTGTAAACTAACATGAAAACAATATCCATAATTAATGTCATTTACCACAGGGTCGCGCCCAGACTGGATTTATGTCTTGTTTACCCAGTCTGTAA